ATTGTAATAGAGTGTTATTTTTTTTTTGTTTAAAGTTTTTTTTTTTTTTTTTGTATTTTTCTTAGTGTAGCTTTCTAGAGAGACGAGAAAGAGCATCCACATTAGAATGAACTTGTCCTTTACAATGTATAACTGTGTAGGAGTAATCAGCAATCCATTGAATCCATCGAGTTACTTGTTTGTTAGGGTTAGATTGGTTTAATAGCCAACGTAAAGCAGAGTGATTCGTGATAAGTTCAAAAGATTTAAGGTAAATATAAGGTTAAAAATATTCCATTTTCTATACTACAGCAAGATATTCAATTTTAGTTGGAGAGTAATTAATTTCAGCAGAATTTAGAGATCTGCTAGTATAAGCAATTACATGCTCATAGTTGTCATCATCCTTTTGAGCAAGAATAGCACCTAAACCTTGATATGAAGCATCAGTATAAAGAATAAAAGATTTTGTAAAATCAGGGTATTGAAGAATAGATGTAGTTATCAATTTTTTCTTAAAAATATCTATTGCTTATTGGCAAATTTCAGTTCAAACAAAAGAAGTATCTTTTTTTAACAACTTGTTTAAAGGTTCAACAATTCGTGAAAAGTTTAAAATAAACTTTCGGTAATAAGAAGCTAGGCCAATAAATCTACGAAGTTCAGTAAGATTATAGGATACAGAATAGTTTTGAATTTTATCAATTTTCGATGGATTAGAAGCAACACCATTTCTACTAATAATATATTCTAAAAAGGCTAATTGTTGTTTTCTAAAACAATATTTATCCTTTCTTAATTTTAGTCCAGCCTTTTGAAGATATTTAAAAACTTCCTTAAGATACTTCAAATATTTCTCAAAAGTTTTTGAATAAATAGTAATATCATCAAGATATACTAAAATAAATTTGTTTTTAAGATCAGAAAAGATTTTATCTATAACTCATTGAAAAGTAGCAGATGCATTTGTTATACTAAAAGGCATAACATTAAATTCAAACAACTCATATTTGGTAATAAAGGCAGTTTTTTCACGATCCTCAGGCTTCATTTTAATTTGCCAATATCTACTAGCCAAATCAAGAGTAGTGAACTATTTAGCACCTTTAAGAGTATCCAGAATTTCATCAATTCGTGGTAAAGGATAAACATCTCGTTTAGTAATTTTGTTAAGCTTCCTGTAGTCAATACAGAGCCTTAATTTACCATTTTTCTTTTTTACTAAAAGCATTAAAGAGAATTCCTGTTGAATAAATTCATGTTCAGCTGGTGACATATGGTAGGCTTTTTGATAAATAGGTAGAACATTTTCAGTAATAATTTGATGTTGGTCTATAGTTGTTTTGCCTAAATCATTCATTCCCTTAGAGAACATATGGTCATTTTTAGTTAAGAATTGTTGTAATTGTAAATTATTTTCAGAAGACAAATTTGTTTCCTCAAAGTCTTTCTTAGTAATAAAACAACTTATTGCTTCTCTCACTTGTATATATTTTGGACATGTTTTTTGTGGCTGAGCACAATAACATTTAATAGTTTGAGGATCACTGGCTTGCTCAGAATAAAAGTTATAGTTATCAAAAGATTCATTTTGGTATTTAACTTGGGTATTATTGATTTCAAGTATAGGTTTTTTATTAGAATTTTCTATAACTAAAAATTCTTTAGATTCCTCCAGTTTAGCATCAGATGATTCATATTCATTCTCACTATATTCATTAGTTTCAACAACTAAAGTTTGATTATTTAAGTCATTAGACTTAGAGAAAATTTTTAAAGGAATAGGCTCACCATTATTATATTGTAGCTTTTTCTAACAAGTAATAGGTAAAATATAAGATTTGTTTTTTTAAGTAAATTTAAATTGTCCTTTTTTCAAATCGATAATACTTTGTATTTTGTTAAGTCAATTGACTCCAGCAATTATAGCATAATCTTGGGCATTATTTACTTCCACATCAATAGGAATAGTGATATCAGATAATTGAAAGGGTATATTATTAATAATCCCTAGTGATCGTTTTTTTCTATCATTAATATCAGAAAAATAAA